GAGGCTTATTGCCTCTCTCTGCTAATCTAGGCCTAGTCCTGGAAGCTTCTAGCCTCCGTACAATCTAACCTAGGCCTAGGATGTTTCAGCCTCTGGGACTTATTGCCTTATAATTTCTTGTTCTTTCTGAGCTGGGTGGTTCAATTCAGCTCTTCTGGCTCAAACTCCTCTCCCAGCTGACTGATTCAGTCTGGCTTCTCTCTTGGCCCCTGAAGTGCTCTGCTTGGCTTCAAACAAACTCCAGCAATCTTTTCTAATCTTTTGGCTCCTTCTCCCTCCCTCGCTCATTCAGTCTTCAACTGTGTTCTGTCTCTGCAACCTGTCTGTCTATTCCTGGCCTAATAAATCTGCCTTCTCTCCCTCTCCACTGCCCCTTAAGTGGCTTTTCTTTCCTCTCTCTTCTTTTGAGAGTTGGGGGTATCCTAGTCTATCAAGTCTTCTGTGATCTGTTACCTTTTCTGCCACTCAATTAAACATCATTTTCAAACATGGGTACTTCTTTTTACAAACTAACTTTACCTTTGTTGTTTGGGATTAAAGGCATGTACCACTACACCTGGACCTAAGCTTTTCTTTACCTGAAACTTGCTCTATACCAGGCTGGCATTGAACTTACATCTGCTTGCCTCTGTCTCCTGGATTAAAGGCGTGTTCATATTCCAGCCAGATCACACAGACCTCTAAGGCCTTTGGATGTGATTTCTTGCTAGAACAGCCATGTACTGCATTAAAATTCCTCTACAGATAACATGTGACAGTTGTTTCACTTTGTGGCTATGCTTGATGGCACTGAATTTTATGCATAATGAAAGTGGCTAATATATGTATCATCACGGTAAAACAACAAGTTCATTTCTACTCTACTCGCAATAGCTAGGTCATGGAAACAGCCTAGATGTATATCAGCTACTGAATAGATAAAAATATGGCATCTATGCACGATGGAATTTTATTCAGCTGTAAAGAAAAATGAAATTCACAGGGAAATGGATGGATGTGAGGTAACTCAGTAAGGTAATGCAGATACAGAAAGATAAATGTCACATTTTATCATTGATATATAGTTTCTGTACTCCTCTCTATTCTTTTTAACCATGGAGGTCAGAACAGATGTATCTGTGTGGGCTGTGTGCACACGAGTGCAAGTGCCTAGGCTCAGATCAGGGTGTTCGATTCCCTGGCACTGTAGTTGCACCACCTAGGAACTGAACCTGGGGCCTGAAGAAAAGAAGTATGTGCTCTTTACTGCTGAGCTACCTTTCTAGCTCATCAGTACTCAGACGTACTCAGACATGAATTGGTGGTATAGACATTCCAAAATCAGACAGGCTCTGATGACTGCAGTGCAACAAAGATAACACTCAACAGTTGTTTTAAAATGTGCGCACTCACCAGGTTGCCCTTTCAGATTGAGCCTTTTGCACTCAGTTTATTGCTTTTTCTTGATATTTTGAGTTCAGAAATATATAATAAACATGGGTGTAATTTCTGTTTTCTAAGAAGACAGCTCCATATAACAGCGCAGGAGAGAAACACTGGCTTATTGATCTGGTTAGCCATTCTTCACTCCCTGCCTGTCAAATAATTGCCATCTATATTTTGATCAACCTTGGCATATCAACTCCTAAATTATAAGTGACCTTATGTTGAAATAGTGTTGTCAAGTTCTTCAAGGCATAAAGACATATACCTATCCCATGCATGCATGTGTTTGAGTATAAATGTGCCACTCATATTCCTGCCTCCTCATGCAGACTGTCCTCCAGCTACACATAGAACTACAGCGAACAAAATTCTCCCTTGGTCTTTGGCATATTTATGCACTGGGCTGGAAGTTCCATTGGTGAACCTAGACCTTGTGTCTGTTCTATAAATTCCTTTGGTGAGCCTCAGCACAATGGTGGGCTGTAGATTCTTTCTGTTGGGTTGTATATTATCATTAAGACCTAGCGACCCTAGAGATAGATTCTGCAATGGGGCAACTTTTGCAGTCTTGGGTTTTAATTTTCTTCATATAAACACATGCTTTCCCTCATTCCAAAAATTAAAGGAAGCTGATGCCTGTTGACCTGCTTTTCTCAAACTGGTTCAATACTAATCAAACTTCTGTCTTCCTATGAAATGTAGATATATTCTGATATAATCTAATTATTATGCAAGCATGCTTTAAAACATCATATTCTATCCCACTAATATATGATGTTAACTGTATGTCCATAAAACAGATATTTGCAAATGCAAAATGTGTGTGTGTTGCTGTGGTTAATTTGATTCTGTGTTGAATATTTTTTTATATTTGTATGTGTGTGTGTACACTTGTTTGTGTATAGATTAGAGGAGAACTTTAGAGAGTCCGTTGTCTCCTTCCACAATGTGAATCTCAAGGAATTGAACTCAGATCTAAGGTTGTCAGTCTTGGCAGCAAGCACCTTTGCCAATTGAGCCATCTCACCACCCATATGACTCTATACGTCAGTGCCTGTAAGAATCATTAGTGTCATAGGAACCCTTGTTGAGTTGTACAGACAACAGTAAAATGTAACTCCTGCCCTTGTGTAGCTTTCAGTCTTGGAGAGCTCACATCACTGCCAGACAGAACTGTAGGAACATTGGATAGCACTGGGATCTAGTTGATGAGAGACCAGAATGGAAGAAGTGTTTGGAAACAGAAGAAGCAAAGGTTATCCTTTACCAAGAGCACCAAAGGAGCAGTAGAATAAAAGCAGAGCTGGTGCTGTACTAACCTGTTTTGTCAGGTATTTGTGACAGGGCAGAACACAGGCATTATTAAGAATAGCTTTGGTATCTCATGTAATTCACAAATGACCTTGAGAATGCTGTGTATTGAGGATGACCTTGGATTTAGATCCTCTTTCCTCTACCTCTGGTGCTGGGATTACAGGCCTGAATAATCATGCCTGATTTTATGTGGTGCTGGCGCTGGAACACAGGCGAGCACGTCACTGACTGTGCTGCAGTCATGCCCAGGTCATGAAACACTTTCTTTAATCAAGGGGCCTGGCTCTTTTAATTTTGTGCCCCATTGCCTTACATTTCAAATTTTTGAAATGTGTAGTATCAAGCAAAGGGTCCCTGCTAGCAAGGAAGCTTATTTTGAGAACAGAAGAAGAAAAGGCCACCATGTTCCTACGGACTTCTGTAAGCTGGCACATTGTTTTAGGGGCAAGTCATGTCCAAAGCTGTGCCCTCTCCACAGTCAGTGTCCACCCCATGTGCTTTCAAGAAATGCACTTTCCTTTGCCCAGCCCTGGTGAAACAGGCTTTAGATACTATTGTACTGCTCAGTATGTAGTATCTTTCGTTTGTGAGTGGCATGCTCACTGGTAAAACATATCTGGATTATTTTACTGCCTTTTAATAGTAGCCCACTGGCTCTGTAAAGGGAGTGTAGTCACTGTCCCCTTATCACAGATGAGGAATTTGAGGCACAAAAAATGCAAACATGTATGTTCAGATACCTTTTTGACACAATAGATATGTCCAACAACATCTTAACCTTTGAGTCTGCCCCTTGAGAAAACAGATCTTACGGATCTTTCTCTCAAGCTTTGGGTGTCTTGATCTTTTGATTTGGAGAAACCAGAAAGGTAGGAATCAGAGCAGAGGGCCAACATTTTCAGTAGAGAACATGTAAGTTGTGCTTGCTCAAACAGACTCCTGAGCGTGGAGGTGCATCTGCTTAATTTGCTACCTCCTTAGAAACTCAACTACTGCTCATAGCAGTCCATCCATAGCCATGCATGTGTGCTCACTGATTCCCAGGAGAGGGCCAGGAGATGTAGGGTAGTTATGAGTAACTTTATTTGGTAACCTGCATTTCTTAGTGAAAGGGACTTTTCAAAAGAAATAATAGTAACAAAGCTTCTACTAAGAAGGTGTCTCATTGGTAGTCACCTCTGGCTTCTGCTTTGTTGACAATGCTAATGTGCAGCCAAGGGAAGGAAAATGGGCATCAAAAAGCAGGGATGGTGACTGACTTGAAAGTGACTGAAGGGTCATGGAAGCACTAGCTGGCTTTTGGCTGTATAATACCCATCAACACATTGTTCCAAGGGTGTAGCAGGAGGGTGGTGGCAGCTGTCCTGTGTGCTGTGTGTTCTCTCTCCTGTAAGACTAGATACAGCATGCACACTCACACTGTTAACAGCACCTTTTGTACATTCTTTCATGACTTCGACTTTTCATTCTTTCTGGTTCTACTTTATCTTCTCAGAAGAGGTTTTAAAACAGACATGCATAATTTGTTTCCCTCAGATTTTTTGTCTTTACTTTTGCAACACATGATCCCCTTTCTCACCTCTTCCTCCTCAACGTTCCTCTCCACTTCTTTCTTATCTTTTGAACTTACTTACTCTCTTATCTTATCTTACTCTCAGGCATGCTGTAGGAAGCTGGGCTTTCTTTATTGTTTGGTTTTGTGTCTTTCCCATTCTAAATACCCAAAACACACTCTCAGTAACTAAACTGAATTTTAACAAAAAGATTTAAAAGAAAAGAAAGAAGAGAACTCTGGATCTTCTTCATCTTCAACATTGAAAAAGTACATTTTGCACTTAAGTATGGAACTTTCTATGTTCAAATAGATGAAATGGTGAGGTCTCAGCTGTTTAACTGTTGAGAGTTCTTCTGTTGATATCACCAAGTAGAATAGAAAACTTCTTTGTAAGGAAGAAGGAGTGCTGGCTAATTTTGACGCACTCAAAAATACTTTTTCTCTGACTTTATCTGATTTCACATTTTTTTTTTTAAAGTCATGCAAGAGACAGTGAACAAGTACATAGTTCCCTCTAGGATCCTCTGCAGGCTATACGAGACACCCAGGATCACCATGGAGCTGCCAGCCATGCAGCCCTCCGAGTCACAAAGAGCAGCCCATCTTTTGAGTGTTTGTTCGCCAGCACTGATATATGTGGATCTGAAGGAAAGTGCTGCCTCGAGTTTGTTAAGATGATGACTGTTTCTCCTATCATCTCTCTCAGGAAATGGCGAAAATCCTTAACCACCCCAGAGTCTACGCTTTCCTCCATATCCCCGTGCAGTCCGCCTCTGACAGCGTACTCATGGACATGAAGAGAGAGTACTGCGTGGCTGACTTCAAACAAGTTGTGGATTTTCTCAAGGAGAAGTAAGTCTGCTAGCACTTAGGAAAATAACCATTTCTTTCTGTCTTCCTGAGGTGTGTGGCAGCTGGGCACTTACTCCAGCCTCACACTTAAGGTACACGGCAGAGGGCGAGACTCCGGAAGCTCTCAAAGCCTCCATTTCCTTGGGGCCCTTGATGTGGTTTCTTTTCTCCCCTTCCCCGAGTTCACAAAGCAGCGTTGATTTGTGTAAGCCAGCCCGCCTTACTAAAGGCAGTTGGAATTGTGATTATTTTTATACCTGACCCGCTGGCTAAAACCTGCCCTCCTTTAGCTAGCCTTTACATCTCCTTTCATGTGGCCTTTGAAGTTGTGAGCTGGCTTTGTATGGAGGAAGTGACCAAGTCTGTCACTGCAGAATGGATCTTTTTCTCCTGACTGGAATTTTCAGTCTGGAATGTCTTTGCTTGTACACACTGATCCCTATAGTTAACTTGAGTGCTTGAAGTTTACAGAGAGGCTGGAGGATTCTAATTTCTTCAGTTCAAATTGCTGTTGACCAAAATTAAGGCATATTTACACAATCTCAGACATGAATGATAATTTTGTTTCCACAGAAAAACACTTGCAGCCCATAATTATGTTCTTCAAAATCTCTCTTCCAAACATGGAATGCATTCTGTGATTAGACAAGGCAGGAAACAGAGGTACTGGCCACGGTCACCCAGACCCTCCTCAATTCTAGGGCACCATCTTCACCTCTGAGAGTATGTCATTTATCTTGGCACATTGTGGCGTGTTTCTCTCTGTCTGTAATTTGTGTTTTACCCCTATTGTTGTTGTCTCCCTCTTGTTATTCCTAATTACCTGCTCTTGCACCATGTCCATGTCCTACATGGGTGTGATTGCTTTGTACAAATTGCCAGCAATTATTTTTTCCACCTTTAATTACTCACTAATTTTTATGGCACACGGTATCTCTGATCTTCTCCTGTTTCTTTTCATCTTTCTTTAGCATGACTTTTAATTTTTTTTCCACCTCAAGGCATGTCTTGATTATTATAATCACCAAGAATAAAGACATGTAGGATACATTCAAACAAATATGGTGAATTGTTCAAATATTCAAATTGGGAATAAGTAATGTATTTATTCCAGGATTGCAGAACTCTAGCATTCAGTTTGTGCAGCCTTCAATATACACAATTGTTGCAAATCCCTTCCATCTCCTACACTATTGGATCTTGAGTAGAACTGGCCCAGGCTAAGGAATGTAGATTTTCATGCCAAATATATGCCGTGTCCTTTCTGTGCATTGGTGTTTGCTTTTGTAGGCAAACTTGTCTCATGTAATAAAGTCCTTCCAAATGCTTTGACACTGGAGAAGGTTTCCCAAACAGCAAGTGTATTATTATTGCTGTGAAATTTCTTTCATGCATTAAAGTAACAGGAAAGAGTATGCATTTTTCATGCATGTTACACAATATTTTGCCAGTGTAGACAAGCATTCTCTGTGTAGAATATACCAGATTCCCTCCCAAGTACCTTGTTGGTTAACTCTGCTGGAATGAGACTAAGGCCTGAATACCTCGCTCTGCCTGGTTGTATAAGTGAGTCATCAGGTGTTTGGGGGAATTACTGTGGCAACTAAACTGAGCAGTAGTGTCACAGAACATCCCAGTCTTTGTGTTGCTCTGAAGATGGGCCTGTTGAATGTGCTGCGTCTTGAACATTTTCTGCAGCCTCCATGAGCTGTATAGTGGTCAGATATGAGTCACATTAAGATGTTAGAAAGTCATCCCTTGCCATTTTTCACAGAATAAACTCTGAGTCTTTTCCTTGTAGTCTCAGTTGTCTGTGGTATTTGTGGAGTTTCCCAAGGTTAATTTCACTACCTAGAGATGTTATTATCAAGAGCTCTAATGGGACCCATTAGTGTTTCCAGCATCTCAGACCCCAGAGATCCCTGGAAAATATACCACACACACATTTAATCTCACAACTTTAGTTTTCATGGCTACAAGTATGTAGTATGAAGTTGACAGTAGCCAGTCTACATCTAGAGGAGACTTTAAATTTTACTGAGCATGATCCTCATACAGCAAGGATAGAAGTAAACCTGGTATAGTGGAGCTCACGGTTAGATAACAAGTAGAATATGTGGAAAACCGTACAACGAAGCCAGTATGACAACTGAGAAAACCTAGTTACCCTCTAAGCCATTATCAGTGTAAGTAAAGGAGTCCTTGCATGGTTTTAGAAAATTCATCAGAACCATAACACTAGGGAGAAGTAGCCATGTCTGCTCTTGAAGGCAGCACAAAAGAGCTCTGTTCTCTGCTAAAGACAACTTGTCCAACCTCCTTAAGGAAGCTCATCCATCCCAGAAATAATTCTCAGTTACTATGGGAAGTTGGAAATAAATGGAATATTTTCTCTGGTTGGTATTCTTCATTGTACCATTCCCTGCCCCTTTAAAAACTAGCATGGCTTTATGCAAGATAGATTTGTGCTTGCTTTGGATTACTAAAGTCCCAGAGTGTGCTCTAAGACTAATAATATTGTTTTGTCTGATATTTATTAATGGCCAGTATGGCACTTTCATTCTTAGAGAGGTTCACATGCTGATCTGTGTCTAGCTGTGGATCACTCATTATCCTGATATAAACTGGTCTGTTTGGTGTTTTTATCTTCTCTTTGTTTTATTTCTCTTGTTTTTATTGGTTAATTTTGTTATTTAACAATTTCATACATGTATATAAGTGTATTTCTTCTGCTATTTGTCTCATTTCCCCTAAAGTCTTTGGGGACTTTTGCAGTGAATCTTAACATCAGCATCATGAGGCTCTCAGATCTTTGTGCTGTGAATGAGGCTTTTTCCAGTTTGTCTGCTCAGAAAGCCAGCCTTTACCTCAACCTATAGCGTTAAGTCAGGAATCCACAAATTTAAGGAGTTTACCTGAAGCTTCAGGCTTTTAAGCTACAAATTCAAAGGTCTTTATTGAACCCTGTTTCTCACACAGTGGAGTGGAGGTGAACTCTTTTTAATTAATTTTCTTTTACAGTTGAAAGTGGCCTGTATTTTAGCTGGGAGCAATCTAAGTTTACCTGTGAGCCAACTCGTAGCTTATTCATTATTCTCTGCAGTTGTTTGAAAGTTGGCAGCTATTATCATAACAGCAGCTGGACTGAAGATAACCTGGTAGGGTTGGCACATGTTGAGGCATATGGAAATTCATTAAATCTTGCAGCCTTTGCAAAAAAAAAAAAAAAAAAGTGTCTAAATTACTTAATATGCTCATTTAAAACAGCTGACCACAAGCAGAGAGTCATATGACTTGAAGTCTACTCAGATATATAAACCCAACAGATGATTTTGTTTAAATGAATTGATGGTTTTTGAAATGCATAGTGGGCTTTGTAGGAACATGAAAGAGAACTGTTAAACAAAGCAATAAACAGTTTTTTTTTTTTAAATCTGCCTTTATATTTTTAATAGGTTTACATACATTTTACTTCTTAATATGTTTCTGAGATTTTAAGAATATGATCATTCCCTTTTTTGTGCAATTTTGAAGTATTTATCCTCAATTTAAGCATTTTTTTTTCCTATGTTATATTACTGTTAATGGGATTCCCTAATTTTGGGGCCTGTTAAGAAACGGTTGGATTCCCTGGTCATTCCCATGAGCGCTGCAAAAATCACGCTCATCCTACCACATTCTGGGTTGTCTTTCCTTCCTGTCTTTAGGCCGGGTTCCCCGCGTGTCTATTTCGAGAACATGCTGGAAAAAGATAAAGTGTGTTAAATTTGAGTTTTCTTCCACCTAGTCCATCTAGTTTTATTCCTAATGACTTAGAAATATAAGTGGCTTTAGGATATGGTAACTCGTGCCTGTAATCCCAGTTTTTGCAAGGTGAGGCAGGAGGATTGCCGCAATTTCAAGACCAGACTGAACTACAAAATAAGACCCCATCTCAAAAACGGGAGGAAAAAAATAAACAGGGAGAAAATACATATAAGTAGCAATATGTGTAAGAATAAAATAACCTGGAGACCAGTTTAACAAGGATTAGTTATTTTTTCCTCTAGGTACATTTCCAGATGTGTTTGGTGTTCTGTGAATAAGCTCCTCAGAAATAATGGCCTCAGAAGTGTCCTCTGGCTTTCCTGGATTATGTTGTTTTTCATGTCTCTAACTAGGCTGCAGTTTCAGTGTCCCTGGTGTCTTGTTCACTAGTTTAATCTTTGTTTTGCTTTTCAATGTGGTGGTCTCGTTTTTGTTGCTATTTCAGAATTTTTAACAGAGTAAATATATTTCATTGGAACAAGTATCAGTAGAAAAATTCATTGATTTTTTTTTTTTTTTTTTGCATTGTGAGTTCCATTCACAGTTGGCAAATTGCATGCTGGGTAAATTTTTTGTATCATGTGTTTATGTATCATGGTTAAGAGAAATTGTCATGCCATTCCTGCCACTTTATATCCTTTATGATTGCATAATCCTTTCAGAAAACAAACACCTACCATCACCTGAACCTTGGTACATTTTTGCTGCCTTTATGCTATGCCCCTTAAATACAGATCTGAATCCAGAACTGAGAAGTAGGATATTTATAATAAGCATCTTTTCTTTGTCAGTGCTTCCATAGTTCAGCTGCATATTATCTTATAATTACACCAAAGTTTAGCTACATGGACAGTACAAATGGTTTTAGTCTACACTGTATCAAGTGAGTATTAGGCGTGTGGGAATGATTAAAAATTTGTTTTGAAATCTGCATTAATGAACTAATGAGTAATAGGGTGAGACTATTATTTTCTGCTTGTAATTTTTATTCTGGTTCCAACAACAAATGAAATACCTGTAACAACAGTAATACCAATGATAATTTAAATAACATTAAAACCAATATCTGAACATATTTTTGAACACTTACTTGTATGCCAAGAACCTTGCACATATTAACAGTTTTAATCATCAAGGAGAAAGCTAGTGAGTAATTTGTCCAAGGTCATGCAGTTAGTAGCAGAACCTACATG